GAAATAGTGATAGGAACAGTTAACGTCGATGGATGAAACAGTAGTGTGTATCAAGAATCGTTCCCATGTTGAATAACCTGATGGTTCTTGACGACCAGTATGAACAAGGGAAAAAGTATTCCTGATCAGTTTGCGAGTTGCTGCATTTATTGACTATTTTGTAGTTTTCTTTATTTACAATTTTCTGTTGGAGTGAAAAGTTCCCCTCGACTACGCTTGATTGCACGCCTTACGTCCTTTAACTTGTAGATTGAGCGGCCAGTCTTATCTTGGTCCGACCTCGGCAATGCGCCCGGGTGGACTCTCGGACTTTCACCACCTCGGAAATAGCGGCGGCGACCGGCCTTGTGATCCCCTGTCAAAGTCACGCGGTATTGCACGTATAAAGCATATTATTTGTTTTACAGAAATCTCCTCATTCTTTTCACATCTCGTTCAATCTCGTGTTGAGCAACAGATAAGCATCCGCAGGCATATGGAGGACATTCACATTAGCAGGTAAGTGACCGCCCAAAATTTTAAAAGCCGAAATATCTCTCATCTGCAAATTCTTCGCTTTCACAACACAGGCCCAAGGCGTATCGATTAGCTTCCCAGTATTCTGACTCATCAAATGGCTCGTCGAATGTGCAAACCGCCGTTACAAGCACTGAAGACCGCCTCGAAGATCGTCGCCGACAATCGCTTAGGGTCATGGCAGCCATGAGCCTAAATAAATCATACAGTGACGCAATTAACGGAGTTTCCATCAACAAAAGTGATCTAGAGCATGAGGAAGGTAATGATGCTATATTTTTTAATGGTATTCGCTCGATAATATTGCGAAATAAAGCAGCATACCACACCTCCACAGATTGTACGTCGAAACTGCAAGAAATATTCATTCGTGCGAAAGAGTCTGGCATGACTTATGATGATATTTTTAAAAAATTCTGTCTTAAACATGAAGTCACCAGCACTATTTCATCCAAAGCCTTCGTAGCTGCCCTGAGGAAACTCAGTCCGGATATTTTCTGCCTGACGGAGGTACGCGGAGGCAAAACAATTCCTGCTATCTGCCATTTTTTGCGGCAGGGGTGGAAGTATTATATTTCATCTTCTGTGATGTCAACACATTTCCACTTGTCAATCATGGATTGTTTCGCGGGATTCTTTCTCAGCCTTAACTACATTTTTTATGCCTTACATGTGCGGAAGACTGATGTCGGCCTTCTTGTGAGAAAATTTGAAGTAAACGAAGACAAAGTAGTGTCTTTGGACGAATTGAAAACTTTCGCGTTGGCGATCCCACACGTTTCATGGAAAGTGGAGCGCATTCGACGTCTATCTTCAGCTTTATCTTTGAGTGACAGCACAAACAGATCTGACTCTGGCCGGGTAAGCTTTCACTATAAAAACCCGTTCATTTACGGGCTCATTGACCGATATATATATATTTTAATGTCCTATACGTCTCATCGGATTGTTTAAGGCGAGCGATTCGACAGTCACGCGGCAACCTGCACCTCGCAAGGCTGCATCACGTAGATCGCTCCGTCAAGCTGTCAGCTTTTCCCGTCAAACAACGTTTCCAAAGCCACTCTTTTCTGAGAAACGAAAGAAGCAGGATACGAAAACCTTTTCATCGACTTCGATATCGCCTATTTTACCAAGTACTGCTTCAATTGCATCCACGCGTGTGGACGACAGGAGCTTTTCCCCAGAATGTTGCAGGAGTGACTATGAGGGTTCACAGCGAGAGCAGCCTCGCATTACGTCACATTTTACTATCGAAAAGGTATACGCACGTGTACTTATATATATCTTTTTGTGCCAAAATATTCCTAAGTCGTCCGGATACTTGTATTTATCGGTGCACAAGGTCATGACTGTGTTGTGCGTACAAAAACTCATGATAAGCTCGTTACCCTCGTAAATGTAAAGATTCATCGTACTTCTCATTCAAGTATCTCGCAAGCCCACAATAGCTCTGAGTTTGCTATCAACTACTTCTAAACTCATGTGGCGCGAACAAGAACACCTCATATTAAGGCTCTATGGCCACGATGACCCTCCTCGCATCATCGCCGTGACGGCAAAGAGCAAGGGGACAGGAAAGGTCAGAACTGTAGACTCTGCAACTGTTTCGGTACAAAAAGTACAAAAACAAATCTAATGATGTTACCACTAAACTTATACACCAATACGCAGAACTATCCCGCTATTTATCTTGACCGCGACAAGATACCGCTCAATCGAAAGGCCATTGAGGCCCTAGCAGATGCTCTACCCTCTGATGCGGGCGCTCATGGACAGAGCATCGATGCGTTGACCTCTCTCCAACGGGCTGAGCGTGAATATCTCGCTCAGTATGTGGTGCAGCGGCTTGCTCTGGAAGACGTCTCACGCGAAAGCGGGAGGGAGACCGCCAAAAGGATGTGCATTGTTCGGCAAACAGGTGAATAATACGATGCACATGCCGACCTAGGGTCAATGCTATGTAATACCCAACGAATTCTATCTTATTACATTTCTTTCATGAAATGAAAACAGGAGATCCGTGGGAAAAGCTCGCCGTCGAGAAGCCCAAGCTCATTAAGTCCCCTCGATCAAGCCCCGAAATGCGCCTCCGACCCGCCATGGACTTTCATCATACCTCACTGGAGGTGAAGAACATGAATTACGAAACTAAACGTCACAGTAATGGTAAGCTTCGACAATTGTAAGGCTCCTTTTAAAAAAACAGTGGGTAAGTCACCATATAGCATAAACCATTTCTCACATCCTGTGCGATTTTTTATTGTTTTCGTATCATCCAGTTGCCAAATTCTATTCAAACCTGAGCAAGACAGAATTGAAGGATGTACCATCGACATGAGAAGTGGATGAGTCACAACGGCAAGTAGAGTGTACACCCCGATGTTCAAGCGTGGCTACACGAATGCAAAGATAATGACAGTAATATGGAGGGGACCATGCCTTATCCAAAAAAAATCTTCTCTTGTGAGGTTGGAAAGAATTATTATGCCTTCTTTTGAGTCATACTAAGGAGCTTTTTAATAGGGAGGTAGAGGACGTAATGATTTGAGAGGCTCATCATTTTCGATTTCCTTCCAACGTGGTGCTTTTGAAGCCGTGCATTGGAACGTCACCTTCAGTAAGTACATCTCAGAACTCCATGCCTCGTCAGACTGAATCCAACATGGGCCGGACAGGACCAAAAAAGTACTCTGTCCAACATCGTTGATTCAATGCCAATACATTTGACCAAAATTGCGTTTCACCTGCTGTGTAACACGTCATTCGACTGTACGTAAGAGTGCGATTGCCTCGTATAGTGATGATCTGCCGGCAAATTTTATTTTCATAAAATCGCATTTTCTGCTCCACCATGCCATGATATCGTCAGACACTTTGTCCTTGCTTTTTGCCGAGACAGAAACTAGCATTTGCCGAGCCACGCGGGATGATACGGGGAAAGAGGCATTTTTTTTACCACGTGCAAGGACGGCCTTTGGACTTGCTTCACTTCTGGGTGCACCATCCACATATGTAAGGCGATATAGATATATAAAAATGTACATGAGCTTCATGCCCTATGTCACCTGCCGTGGCAACTTTCTGCGCGTAGTGTGCTGTGTCACGCTCAACCACCCACCTCCCTGCGGCCGCTCGCCCAAATTTTAGGCCCCGGCCGCAAAGATTTGACACCACCTGTTCTGAAAACGCCCTGGAAACTGACCAACTATGCCTGACATCCGTGGCAGCACGCCCTTCCCGCTCGTTGCGACTACTGCCAGCTTGCATTGCGGCGAGGTACATCCGTTGTGGTGTTTTTGGACTGCACGGGAGGGTAATGCTGGATCTTTAAATCGAAGATAAAGTGCCGCGTCGACTTGAATTTTGGAGAGCGGGCGAAGGGGGGCGCGTGAGACAGGGAAGGCGGGTCATGCCAATGCAGTTTTTCACGGCTTTGCCTTTGTCCAATCAGACCCGTCCCGAACCTCCACGCAGCTTTGTTTTCACTCATGTATTGGCACCTTCCTTGAATGTGAGGCCTTCTCTTGTGCTGATTTGTGTCAGCGCGGTCATGCTTACGCGGCTCACGCTGTGAATCGCTCAAGAAAACACACCAGCTTTCGTGCGGTTCGGTTCCGAGTGGAGCAGCCGGCATCTTTGTTAGCGTGCTCATTCCTGCTCGCTTTCCTCCCATACTAAAGCAGCAGCTCCTATCCAACCTTGTTTGCAAACATTATGGTTTTGAGGCCTCAGCGCCAACGTCGCGCGACTGCCGTTGCTGCGGCGGCCGTGGAAGAAAAAGAGGCTGTCGCCGCATCTTTTGCTCCTGTCGCACCGGCCATGGTGATGACTGGGCAGCCTTCTTTCAAACTCTCAACCACCAGCGCCACCGCCATCTCCCACATGCGCTCTGTGTCAGGTACTGCGGGGAAATTAAATAGCAACAGTGGCATGAAGGCCCGCATTGTGACCTTGGCTCCGGGGAGCGGATGCGCGGGTCGAAGCAAGACCTCAGGCGGAGGTTATGGCGGCTTTCAGGAGGGAGGTGCGGTGCCCGCCACCGCTACCACCACCACCTCGGTTGCCAGTACTTCCTCCTCTAAGAAGAGCCAGACGCCTGAGTTTCTGGTCAAACTGCATCGGATCCTCCTGAACGAAGACAAGGATATTATCTACTGGGATAATGGTGAGTGGGAAATATTGCGCCGAACACCTCTTTGCCCTTGTGTCTACCGCTCAAGGAGGTGCAACCTGCTCAGTTTGAGTGCGCGCAATTCCTCTAGTCTCTGTATGAGCAGTTTGCAAGCTTCTCTTTAAATGAGGGTCTTACCAGAGGAAAAAGGA